CCAAGTGTCATAAGAAAGAGTTTGATCTTTTGTGGTATTTGCAGCTTCCAAAGGCACATCTAGTTTCTTGGAGTTTTATAGTGATCGGTGTCCATCAAGGTCTCCATAATGTAGTAATAAGTTGATTTGACTAGATAGGTTCCACTTTTGCTCAGGTTCCAAATCAGAGAGTCTTCTTCTTCATGTTTGTAGAGAGGAATGTTGAGGATTTCATTGGTGTCAAGTATTTCTCGGAGTGGTGATCCAAAGTTGTTGGATTTAAAGATTGGTGTGGGTGTGGAGTATTTCTTGAAGTCGCTTCTTCTTTTGCCCTCTCCTTTTTTCTTCATTTGGGTGGCTTCAATTTTGAGGTAAGAGAAGGTAGGACGAATCGGTTGGTTGATTTGATGAATTGTATTGTTGTTTTCATCAAATGAGGGCATGAATATGGCTAAAATAAGATTGAATGATGAAAGGTTTTGGTGTTTTGGGTGATTTTGAATGATTAATGTTGCATGTTGCTCTTTGAATTAGATATGAGTTGTATGAAATGTCTATGATTGTTTGGTGTTGTTGCATGTATGATTGGGTTGTTTTTCAGGTGGATTGGAGGATTTTCAAAGTTTGTAACTATAGATTTCTAATATGATGTCGAGTGCGCCTTTATGGCATTTGCCGCAATCCCAACTAGAGGCCTCTGTCTCAGTCACACCGGACATAGAATTGGTGGCAGCGGGCATGACAAGAGAGACTTGTCTTAGATTGGGATGACATCAAGCTTGAGGTTTTGGGAAGTTTCTAACTTGGTGACATTAGGTGACACTAAGGTGACGTTAAGTGTCAGTTAAGTAGAAACTTTCTACATGATATGAGGTTGGACGTGGATTTTGCCAGGCTAGACATGAGGTCCCAAGGGATCTCCACCTTGGTCATGTTGAATACGATTTGGATGGTGAACATTAATAGATGTTTTAAGTTTATTGCATGTTGTATGATGTTTGATGATTGTTTTATGTATATTGATCGAATATGACATATATAGATGATTGTACGGTGTTGCATGATGGTGAGCATATGTATGCTATATGTTTATATGGTGCTGTTGATCTCTATATGCATTGATGAGATGTCATGTATATAGATGATGTATGGTGAGGTATAGATGTTGAGAATGTGGTATGACATTAGCACATGTTGGCTAACTTAGGATTTGAGGAGAGGAATGATTTTTGAAAATTGAAGATCCCACATAGGGAATCTTAGAGTGGGCCACTATTGGAAAACCCTCATTGAGTAGGTGTAGGTGCATCTCTTAGAGTGAGTTTTGAGGTGTGTTGACGTCTTCTCTAAGTCCTTAGTTAGTGGTTAAGTAAGGTAGGAGGTCGAGTGTAACAATCCTTAACCAAGTAGTTAAAAAGGTTGCATGGTTCCTTGAGGATAATTAGTGGGCAAACTCCATATATGACTTGATAATGCATTTCAAGGTCATGGTAAGCCTATACCTAGTTATACTATTCTTAACAGTGGAATTGAGTTTTCTTAGTTTAAGTGACAAGATCCAACAAAGCAGAGGAAGGACTAATATCCCATTTTGTTGTGATCAAGTCAGCGTTTTAGGTGCAAAAATGATTGGGTTGATTTGATAGGGTAGAGTCACTTAGACTACTCATGGTGAGATCTTCGTAAATGAATGTGTAATAACACATTAGTTGAGGTGTTTGCATATGATGTATGTATGTGACATGATCATGTGCATTGTTGAATGTCTTGTTGGACATGGTGTGGATAAGAAACTTGTTTGCTTTGGGGTGTTTGGCTTTCATGTATGTGTTGCTATGATGTTGTAGGTCATAGAATCATTTTTTATACTTGCATGTTTTTTAACTCTAGTTTACTCTTTCTATTTCCATGTGATTTGGGTTACGATGATCATATGTTTTATGAGAGCAGATTAAGACTAGGCTTGAGAAGTTGTTGCTGGCAAGTGGTGAGATTTTTTGTTGACGATGGTGCTACTACATGTAGCTTGTATAATTGTGCTCAACCGACACTAGGACATAAGATTATTTTGGGATTTATATATATATGAGCTAGAATAG